TCGCCGGTGTTTTCGCGTAAATGTCGTCGTCGGGCGGGAGAATATAGGCGATACGGAGCAGTGCATCGAGAGAGCGGCCCCTGTAATCGTGATTCGGCCGGAATGGGCTGGAACGCGCGTAATCGAACGATACCATAAATTCGGACGAGCAACGGTATAGTCGCCGCCGTATTTTCTCGGCAACGACCGTACGTGAGCGGGGCTCGTTTAACGATGAAATTTCTCCGGAGAAGGAGAGCGCACGCTTCTCCCGCCGGCGCGGCGCAACGTCAACGCCGACGGTTATTATATCGAACGCCGCGGTTTCCTCTCCCGGACGTCATTATCAATTTTCCCGCCGGTAATTACGGTAATTTTCGGTTCCACAATACGTTACGTTTGGCAATCAGCTGATTAATTGCTGACCCTGCCGCGTGTATGTTCTGCCATTCTACGGCGTTCTGTGCCTCCGGTCTTCTTTTCCACCGAGTACGTTGCGTGCAAACGACGGCTATAATTGTTACGCGGTGATAAAAATTATGATCGTAATCGCGAGACGCGCTACCGCGTCCCTTAATTATGTAATTAAATAATGGACGTAGGAATGTGTATAAAGGATAATTCTAAATAAGTGCGAAAATTTGTAGATGATTTTTTGTCAAAAATTAAGCGGGATTTCATATATACATATTTTTATTTTTTTTCTTAAATTTTTAAGTTAAAGATGAAATTTTGGAGTTATTTTTTATTAATAAAAAGGATACTTATAAATATTTTCTTTGTCATATGGGGATGAAACTTGCAATCCCTATTGAAGTTTTTGTTAGAACTTTTTAATGCGTCGGAATATAATCATACAAAAATATACGTTTGAAAGTCTGATTCCTTTAGAAACTTTTTTATTTCTTTTATTTTTTTCGTAAAATCAATAGTTTGCAAGAAAAAAAATTAAAGACAGATTAATTAAGTACAGCATGATGCTAAAACTAGCATAGATTTCGAGTTACGAGAAGTTGAATGTTCGAATAAAAAGCCAGCAAAATAAAATTATAATAAATGTAACAAAAATTGAAAAAAATTGAGAAGAGAAATAAAAACCTAATTTGCACCTCTTATATATATCGCATCGTCTTATACACGTATGTACATAAAAGCGCGGTTTCCCGTCGTAACTAATATATACGATCGATTCTCACCGCGTTCGATACTCGTAATTATATATAGGGTCCACAGATATCGACAGCTATAATTACGGTTGTCGTGGGAGGACATTATTAATGTTATTATACCACATTATCGCGGAGGAAATTTTATAAAGCTCGGATGCGCGACTCATACTCCATCTACGATTGAAAATCTTAAAAAAACCGCGACGGACAATTCGAAATAGTTTGACCTTTATCTCGGGCGTGACACGCGACTTCTTTGGATTTGCTATCAATAATTCAGAAAGGACAGTCGATGTTCTCGTCGCAGATATTGCCTCGAGTTTAATTCGAGCGTGCACTTCAAGATTTCATCTTTTCCCTCTCGTTCCTCTATCTCTCTCTTTCTCTGTCGATACGACAGTCTCATAAGCCGACGAATTAACCTTTGACGTCAGACTTGCGCGAGGTCGATGCCGCTTCTGCGATCGATCGACCTCTCTTGCACCTGCCTCTCTCGTCCGATATTCACTTTTTCGTCGATCGTAGTTACACAAAATTATCAGGCACTCGCAGTTGAGCTTTCGCTTCGAATTTCTACGTTCACGCGTAATTACGTCGAATGAAATGCGATTAATGCATGCGCGCGCGATTTGGACCGTGAGACATTCGTCGATGAGAAATTATATAAATAACTCGTGTGCAGAATATTATAATGAAATTGCCAGTGCTGCGCTTAGATAGTTTTAAAATTAGTTACACTAAAAAAAAAATATTTATTTAAAATTACATGATTGTGCTAGGTTTTTTCCGACCCAGCATTAATCATGCAATATTGCTACCTATATGGAAGATTATAGATTATATATAATTTTATATGAAATATATTCTTAAATATTTTCAAGATTAAAAATATTTCACTAAACATGGAATTACACAAAAATAGTAAATTTAAAATTACATATGATTTTTGCATAAAAATAGTAATGTATTTTTACATTAATATGTATTTTTACTTTAAAAGAAGTGGTAAATTAAATTACAGTGATAAGCAAGTGATTTTCCAATTTTGAATTAGTAATTTTTATGTAAAAATACATGGATTTTTTTCAGTGTACACTGTAAAAAAATATGTAATAATATTACATAAAAATATGTAAAATTACATAAATAATAAGTGTAAAATTACACGATAAATGATGAAAATGTATAGTATTTCATTATTTATCGTGTACTTTTACATTTATTATTTATGTAATTTTACATATTTTTATGTAATATTACATGTTTTTTCTACATAATTTAATAAAGATAACATCTTTTTTATCTAAGATGCAGATATAGAAAATACATATTTTTATTATCTATATAAAGATAAGATGACACCAAAATTTTATCTAGATGATCATCTATATAATCTAATTTAGATAACGTCAAACACTGGAAATTGTACTCGTAAAACCTTCACAGAGTATAAAAATGGAGAAAGAGAAAAATATTAATGTTCTCTATTATTTATATCTCCACCGGTCGTAATATTGAGGAATAAGATAAAACGCACCTTTCCTCCGCGCGGAGACTCCGGTGTAAAATGTATGGAGGAAATAGATAAGAAAATTTTATTCCCCCGAAATCCAAAAATTTCTCCCATTCGGCGGTTCCGAGATTAAGGAGATCTCAAAATTGAGATATAAAACTTCCGTCATAGAATCGTTCTCGCCGATTACATTTACGGCGGAAAGAATCGGACAAGAGGAGCAGAGAGATTCGGTTACAGGAAGTCTAGAGAGAGAGAGAGAGAGAGCTCGAGGGAGGAAGACCTTTTGGCGAAACCAGGCCGTGGATCTTGGGGATTCAGCCTCGGATTACGAGGCGTGTGGAAACTGTCCGAGGGTCGTGGCCCCGGGCCGTGCTCCCGGGGGTTGTAGGTCAGAAGCTACGACTGCCCTGTATGCACTCTCGAGAATTCAGAGCCCGCGAACGCGGCTGTCTCCCTTGCCTGCGCGTCGATATCCGACTGTATAATTTTCGAGAGCTCTCGAGGAGTCAAAGGCGCGAGGCGGGAGTACGGTGATCAACTCCCGCGATCGACCAGTTTCGAGATATCGATCCTGAAGAAAGACACTTTTTTTAAGTGGTGTAATTTTAATTCTTTGGTTCAAGATTTATAATTAGTGTTTGCTAAAGTAATTTTCTAGATAATTTAGTAAAGATACTTTTCTTTCATCTAAGATCCAGGTATTGATAATACATATTTTTATATAATTTAATAATCTGTTTTATGTAATTTTTATATATTTTTATCTATATAAAGATAAAATGACGCCAAAGTTTTATCTATATAATTGTCTTGAGATAACAGCAAATATTTGCTGTTATCTCAAGACAATTATATAGATGATTATTTAGAATCTTTATATAGATAAAATATATAAAAATTATATAAAACAGATTATTAAATTATATAAAAATATGTATTATCTATACCTGGATCTTAGATAAAAGAAAAGTATCTTTACTAAATTATCTAGAAAATTACTAAAATGTCTAGAATAATTTTTAGATAATTTTGGTTTAGAATCATAGCACATAAAAATACTTGAATAGTAGAACTTGAGTAAGCGAGAAAAATTTATAAATAAAAATATAAATACATATAATTTTATATCCCTTTTATAATTTATATTTTTTTATAACTATGTTTACATAAGCAGTCTTAGAAATTATTATCTAGAAAATTGTCTAAATGAATTGCCACATAGTTTAATCTTTCATCTAGATATATTTAAAACATATTTAATATGCTCTAACATGACAAATAATATCTCGTCCGAGACGTTTTAATAAAAATCGAAATTTGGGATGAGATTTTTCTTTTCTTTCGATATAATTCTTTATTTAAAATATTCATTTTCTTATGCATATTATTCAGAACGAATTTACTAATAGTAATTGATAAATAATATTTTCTTATCTGTATCTCTTTAAAGACTTATCTTGATTTTTAAATATTATTTATATTCTAAAAATAACATCTCGTCGTGAGTTAAATTACGTATCGAATACACTGTGCGTCTAATAAAATCTAACTAAATTTTTTAACAACAATCGAACATGAAAGCAATAAGAAACCAACATCAAATTTTTATCATAATACAAATAATAAAATACAAATAATAAAAAAAGTTTTATTTACTAATTTTTTATTTTTTATTAATACAAATAATAAAGTGAAATTCTAGAGTTAATTTCACATTTTAATACTATGCTCTAATATGACAAATAACATCTCGTCCGAGATTTTTCGAGACGTTTTTAATGAGAATCGAAATTTGGGACGTCCATAAAAATTCGGGATGGTTGGTCACCCACAAAGAAGAAAAAGCAAATTATTGCAAATTCGATTCCTGCGATAAGATTTCCTGCAACGTTTAACGACTCCCGATTGTTGTATCGATAAAATTTCTGGTTGATTGGCGACCGAATATTTATTTATTGTTACGCTTACGCGAATTATAGGCGCGTTATCGCACTATGGGCCATCAGATATCTAATCAGATTTATTTACGTTTCTAGTAAATCTGATTAATCCGTATCTATAATTAACGATATATACGTACATACATCATTGCACGGCAGTATAAATAATACGTAAAAATAGATCTTCGATTTATATTTTTTTTAAATGTTTTTAATCAGATTAATACTTGTACAATATATGAATACATATAAATATATGAATATATGATTAGCATTATCATTATCAAAATATTTATATTAAAATGGTAAAAAGAACATTTTCTGGATTAAAAATGTACATTATTCATCAAAATATTATATTTAATATATAATATTATAATATATAAATAGTGTGTACTTGATTATGTCATAATTATAAAAGCTATACTTAATTTTTCGCAAATTAACGATAATATAACAAATATATATTTGCGTTTTAATAATGTATAGATGTAATATAATGAAATGGTTCGTCATTCATACATCCTGTATCAATTTTATCAGCTAACAATCCATACAAGTAATTGTCAGTTAAAATCTTGTATTTACACAATGAATGATAATCCTCAAATGATGTCGAAGAACATGAAAAATCTGTTAATATTAATATTTTTGTAGTACACATGTGTACAATTTATTCACAGCAAGAAGTGAGCAACCCCGTATCTCAAGTTCTTCCCTGCTTCCATGTTTAAGTGGCGCATCTGCGAAAAAAATACAGCACGTTTTGCTACGATTATTTAAAAAAACGTGATTAAATAAAAAATAAATTTTTTACATCAGAACAAAATTAATTACAACAAAAAGGTTTGCTAAATGCAAACCGTTATGCAATGAGTGAAGTATCATAATTACTACACTGATGTGTAAAGACTTTTATACCAATTAATAGAAATAATAAAAATTTATAATGGTTAATAACAAAAATTAATAACAGCTATAAATAAACTTTTTCAAATCTGCTCATATGTGTGGGAATATCTTTTCTGAATTTATGCAGATCTTATTCTTGTTTTATTCTTATCCAGGCAAACAAGATTTATAAAATTTTTCTTGCACAAGTTCACACTTTGGTTATAAAAATTGTGACCAATCATTATCATAAATAAAAAATTTTTTGAGAAATTTTGTTTTTAAATAGAGATTGTAAATCTATTATTATTATTCAAAATATCACAGGTATAAATTTGTACAGTTCAAAAATTAATAAAAAACTCAGGATTTCTTAAGAAAACAGTTATATAATGTTAATTATCTTACCGCTGTCTTTGAATTTGTTCAGAAGCCTGTTAGAATAATCAAGAATTCGAAGATGATGAAGAACTGTAGGACTATGATAGTCAATAAATATTGTGGACATCATATTGTGAATATTTAGACGAAATAACTTGTTTTTCCTATAGCATGCCCATATGTCGCTCACTAGTGAATTTGCTTTGGTTAATAAACGAACTGAAAGATAATTTAAGAAAAATGTACATATAATAAATTAACAATAATATACGAAAAGCGTTAAATTGATTAAAATATTTTAAAAATAATTATGATAAAAAATATATTGATAATTATGATAAAAAATATATTTATATAACATACATTTATTGACGGACATGTTTATTAAATAATTTAGTAGAAACTATACGAACTTTGCGCTTTTAGAATAATAAAAGAGTTTTATAACATTGCTCAAATATATTTATTATAAATATGATAGTACAAAAAATTCTCTCGAAATACAAACACTAAATTATAAGTTAATTTATTATTAAAAAAATTTAATTTTATAAAATAAAAATAAAAATATAAATATAAATATTTTTATATAAAATAAAAATTTTTATTCATTGATATTGTCATGCATATTATCATTATAAATATAATTACCATGTTTACCCTCATATATTGCTTCATCCCGATACGGCTCAAATTCATAGAAAAGTATTTTCATTAAATTATCTGAATTGTAATTGCTTAATTTGACACATTCTACAAAAGTGCCTATAATAATATTATTAACATATTTATGTTATTAATATACTAATAATATATTATTTTAGTAAAATTATGTACATTTTTTATAAATGTAAAATATATACATTGCTTGTTACATATATATCTAATTTTTATAAATATAATTTTTTTTTTTCTCAAGAAACTGAGAATTTGATTCTAAACAAGTCTTGATATATTGATTACGAAACAAACAAATATTTATTCTTTTACGAATACACAATTTTATCGTCATAATTAATACCTTTATATTTATTCAACAACACTTTTCCAACCGCATGTAAAATTTGACATCTTTCACGTAAAAGTGGAATATCAGTTTTACCATCGTCACTGCGAAAAATATGTTTTAACGTACATTCTGTTATTTTTGTGTAATAATAGGGATTCCATAAAGGCTTTTTTTCCTATAACAAATATTATACAGCATAATAAAACGAAAAAGCGTTTTAATACTAAGAGCCAAGCGCAGATGTTAGTTAACAAACAAAATTATTTTTAAATTCTTTTTTACTTATACTGGATGTTTTGATTCTTTAACACTATTTGTTTATATCGAAGGACAGCATTTGTTTTATATAATATTTTTTATCTTATTTTCACTTGTTGTGAAAACTTACCAGGAATGTAGATATATTCACGTCAATTTTTTAATACCTGGTATTTTAAGACTCGTCAAAAGAAGAACTAAACATAGATTCAATAAATATAGAAAATAATTAAAAAATTAAAAAACTTTTTAAATTAATTTTGTGACATCTAATATATGCACTAAGCTCTTACTAATTTTTTTCACATCTGTATTAATATATAATTATACACATAATATGTAATACGTTTAGAATCGAAAGAATATAGAACATATATGCCTTGAGAGAACAAATTTCAAATATAATGTAATAAGTAACAAAACTATAAAGATAGGATTTACGAATCACTGTTGTATTGGATTACAATATATTACATTACATTCACATTAAGAAGAAGTCATAATTTGTACTGCTCACAACTATTAATTAATTTTTCAGTTTAAGAAGAACAATATAAATTTAAAATTTATAAATTCATGCAAATATTGGAATTGTTAACAAAAACTTTCAAAAATAAAAAATATTCTGTTTCGTCAAAACTAAATAATGAGTGAATGTTATAAAATAAATTTGTGGCAATAGTATGTTAGACTATAATAAGTAATAATATAAAATTATTGATAAATGTGCCATTCTCAAATGGACAGGTACTTTACTTACATCTATGGCTCGTTTAATAGCAAAGCATAATGCATTATATCCATCTGAATTACCAGCTGTCCATTGCTTAGTGCCTTTCGGATTAAAGAGTGAAAAATTCAATGTATGAAGCACGAACAGCCAATCTACCGCTTTCGAGTCTGTTACATCTGGATATGTTTCCGGACGCCAGAATACATTATAAAGTTGTTTCAAGATTTTCTCATTATCTTTCACAAATTCAGATGTTATCTATGTAGATCAATCAAAATATCTATTTTAATATATCCTTTGTAAAAAAAATTTCTTAAAAATTATTATTTTCTTTGGAAAAAAAATTCTAAAACAAATAAAGTCAGTTTTATTCATACAACGATAATTTTTAAATAGTATATGAGGATTGCAACGAATGAAATAACATAATAATTTTTCAAATATCTCTACAATATTTCCAAATTGCGAATAATACGAAAATATTTTTTTAATGCTATGCATATATCTATTTAAAGAATATCATACAATTGATTTTAAAAATCAATGTAAAAATTGTATATCAAATAATAAGTCGAAATGATGGTTTCTATAAATATTATAATCTACCAAAAAATTAATTAATTTGAGAATTTAGAAATTGTTCTTTTTCTCTTCTTTCGACATAATTCTTTACTTCAAATATTCATTTTCTTATGCATATTATTGAGAATGAATTTACTAATAGAAATTGATAAATAATATTTTTTTATCTGTATCTCTTTAAAGACTTATCTTTCTTTCTAAATATCATTTATATTCTAAAAATAACATCTCGACGTGAGTTAAATTACGTGTCGAATACACTGCGCGTCTAATAAAATCTAACTAAATTTTTGAATTTTTATTTCACACACACATTTAAAATCAAACGGACAAATAGAAAACATGTCACGAATTCAAAATTTTCAAAAGTCTATAAGCAGATATTAAAGAAACGCACGTTGGCTGCTACTTTTTTGATATTATTTTCTTCGATCTTTACGTCTTGCGCCTTTCTAGCGATATATTCCGCCGCCTGCAATAATTCTTTCACATCACAATCACTGCTATTATTTTCCATAACGTTAGTTATATTTCGCCGATTGTTTTAAACTATTGGTTATTTATAATTATGTCTTCTTTATGTCACTTAACCACCGGAATGCTCTGTCAACATAAGAAGATAAACCGATCATACATACTAATATAAGCATAAGCCTTTGTTGATACACAAAAATACGTTGATGTACTATTTTTGACTCACTTTCAAAATCTAGTTTAGTTAATTTCGCTGTAAAATTTTCTTTTTTTATTATATTGATTTAATTATTATTTCAATTATTGCTTAAAAATAAAGAAGTTTAATATAAATGTCATTTTAAATATCAATAGACCAACTTTATAGAGATAAAAAGAAACATTAATAATGTTTTGTCAAAATTAATAAAGAATGAGAAATATAAATATTGTGCGAATATTATGTTAGACTGTAATTATACTGATGCAACGATATAAAATTATTGATAATTATATCATTTGATGATAAATAAGTATTATATCTACATCTATGGCTCGTTTAACAGCTATGTTATATAAGTATTATATCTACATCTATGGCTCGTTTAATGCTAAATATCTTTCTGTATTATCAGGTGTCCATTGCTAAATGTTTTTTGATTGAAAAGTGCAAATGCATATGTTATGGAGTCCTACCATATATTTGTTATTATCGTCCACAAAATCAGTTACTCTTTCAGTGGATTAATCAAAATATCTATTTATATATTCTTTGTAAAAAAATTGTATTTTATAAAAATTATTATATTCTTAGGAAAAAAATTCTAAAAATCACATGAAGCCAGTTTTATTCATTCAACGATAATTGTTACATATTGTCTGATGCTTGCAACAAATGAAACAACATAATAATTTTTCAAATATCTGCACAATGTTTCCAAATTGCGAATAATACGAAAATTTTTCTTAATGCTATGCATATATCTATTTAAAGAATATCATACAATTGATTAAAAAAATCAACGTAATAATTGCATATCAAATAATAAGTCGAAATATACTTGTTTCTATAAATATTATAATCTACCAAAAAATTAGCTAATTTGAAAACTTAGAAATTGTTCTTTTTCTCTTCTTTCGACGTAATTCTTTATTTAAAATATTCATTTTCTTATGCATATTATTGAGAACGAATTTACTAATAAACTAAACTAGAAATTGATAAATAATATTTTCTTATCTGTATCTCTTTAAAGACTTATCTTTTTTTTTAAATATTATTTATGTTCTAAAAATAACATCTCGACGTGAGTTAAATTACGTATCAAATTCATTATGCGTCTAATAAAATTAAACTAAATTTTTTTAACAACAAACATGAAAGCAATAAGAATCCAACATCAAGTTTTTATCATACAAAATACAAATAATAAAGTGAAATTCTAGAGTTAATTTTACATTTTAATACTATGCTCTAATATGACAAATAACATCTCGTCCGAGATTTTTCGAGACGTTTTTAATGAGAATCAAAATTTGGGATGTCTATAAAAGTTCGGGATTGTTGGTCACCCACAAAGGAAAAAAGCAAATTATTGCAAATTCGATTCCTGCGATAAGATTTTCTGCATCGTTTAACGACTCCCGATCGATCTATCAATAAAATTTCTGGTTGATTGGCAATCGATTATTTATTTATTGTTACGCTTACGCGGATTATAGGCTCGTTATCACGCTATAGGGTATCAGATGAGATCTAATCAGATTTATTATTTGCGTTTCTAGTCAATCTGATTAATCGTGTCTATAATTAACAATATACGTACGTACATCGTTGCACGGCAGTGTAAATAATACGTAAAAATAAATTTCTTCGATTTACATTTTTTCTGAATGTTTTTAATCAGATTAAGTAATACTATATTTGAATACATATTGACATTATCAATATTAAAATATTTATATTAAAATGGTAAAAAGAACATTTCTGGATTAAAAATGTACATCAGTCATTAAAATATTATATTTAATATATAATATTTTATATATTATAAAATATTATATATATATATATATATATATATATTAATTATTTAATATTATATGGTAAATATAATATATTATACAATATATGTTATGTTTAATATTATATGTTTAATATAATATTTTATAAAATATTATATATTAAATATAATATTTATATATATATATATATGTATATAATATATATAAAATTTTCTAATATATATATATTTTTTTTATTAAATTATATTATATTTATATTCTAATTAAGGGCAAATTGTGTGTACTTAATCATGTCATAATTATAAAAACTATACTTAATTTTTTCGCAAATTAACGATAATATAATAAATGATGTTTGCGTTTTAATAATGTGTAGATGTAATATAATGAAATGGTTCGTCATTAATACATCCTGTATCAATTTTATCAGCTAACAATTTATACAAGTAATTGTCAATTAGAATCTTGCATCCTTGCATTAGCTCAGGAGTTAATGCTATAAAAAGGAAACAACGAGGATTTTGTGGAGGCACTTTTTTTTGTATTAGGAAATAGTACAATAAATTCACAGCGTGAAGTGAGCAACCTCGTATCTCAAGTTCTTCTCTGCTTCTATGTTTAAGTGGCTCATCTGCGAAAAAAATACAGCACGTTTTGCTATGATTATTTAAAAAACGTGATTAAATAAAAAATAAATTTTTTATATCAGAACAAAATTATTTACAACAAAAAAATTTGCTAAATGCAAAAACCGTTATGCGATGAGTGAAGTATCATAATTACTACACTGATGTTGAAAGACTTTTATAGCAATTAATAGAAATAATAAAAATTTATAATGGTTAATAACAAAAATTAATAACAGCTATAAATAAACTTTTTTAAATCTGCTTATATGTGTGGGAATATCTTTTCTGAATTTATGCAAATCTTCTTGTTTTATTCTTATCCAGGCAAACAAGATTTATAAAATTTTTTTTGCACAAGTTCACACTTTGGTTATAAAAATTGTGACCAATCATTATCATAAATAAAAAATATCTTGTGAGAAATTTTGTTTTTAAATGTAGACTGTAAATCTATTATTATTATTCAAAATATTACAGGTATAAATTTGTACAGTTCAAAAATTAATAAAAAATTCAGAATTTCTTAAGAAAACAGTTATATAATGTTAATTATCTTACCGCTGTCTTTGAATTTGTTCAGAAGTCTGTTAGAATAATCAAGAATTCGAAGATGATGGAGAACTATAGGACTACGATAGTCAATAAATATTGTGGACATTATATTGTGAATATTTAGTTGAAATAAATTGGTTTTTCTATAGCATGCCCATATGTCGCTTACTAGTGAATTTGCTTTGGTAAATAAACGAACTAAAAGATAATTTAAGAAAAATGTACATATAATGAATTAACAATAATATACGAAAAACGTTAAATTGATTAAAATATTTTAAAAATAATTATGAGAAAAAATATATTAATAATTACGATAAAAAATATATTTATATAACGTACATTTATTGACAGATATGTTCATCAAATAATTTATTAGAAACTATACTTTACGAACTTTGCGCCCTTAGAATAATAAAAAAGTCTTATAACATTGCTCAAATATATTTGTTATAAATATAATAGTACAAAAATTCTTTCGAAATACGAACACTAAATTATAAGTTAATTTATTATTAAAAAAATTTAATTTTATAAAATAAAAATAAAAATATAAAATAAAAATAAGAATATAAATATAAATATTTTTATATAAAATAAAAATTTTTATTCATTAATATTGTCATGCATATTATTATTATAAATATAATTACCCTTTTTACTCTCATATATTGCTTCATCTCGATACGGCTCAAATTCATCGAAAAGTAATTTCCTCAATTTATCTGAATTGTAATTGCATGATTTGACACATTCTACAAAAGTGCCTATAACAATATTATATATATATATATTTATTATATTATTAATATACTATTAATATATTATTTTATTAAAATTATGTGCATTTGTTATAAATGTAAAATATATACATTGCTTATTACACATACATTTAATTTTCATAAATATAATTTTCTTCTTTTCTCAAGAGACTGAAAATTTGATTCTAAACAATGATTCTAAACAATCTTGATATATTGATTACGAAACATACAAATATTTATTCTTTTACGAATATACAATTTTATTGTCATAATTAATACCTTTATATTTTTCTACCAACACTTTTCCAACCGCATGTAAAATTTTACATCTTTCACGTAAAAGTGGAATATGAGTTTTACCATCGTCACTGCGAAAAATACGTTTTAACATACTTTGTGTTATTTTTTGTAATAAGTGGGATTCCATAAATCCTTTTTATCCTATAACAAATATTATACAGCATAATAAATCGATGAGGCGTTTTAATACTACTAAGAGCCATGCGCAGATATTAGTTAACAAACAAAATTATTTTTAAAGTTTTTTTTACTTATTTAGGATGTTTTGATTCTTTAACACTTTGTTTATATCGAAGAACAGCATTTGTTTTATATAATATTTTTTATGTTATTTTCTCTTGTTGTGAAAACTTACCAGGAATGTAGATATATTCACGTCAATTTTTTAATACCTGGTATTTTAAGACTCGTCAAAAGAAGAACTAAACGTTCAATACATATAGAAAATAATTAAAAAATTAAAAAACTTTTTAAATTAATTTGTGACATCTAATATATGCACTAAGCTCTTACTAATTTTTTTTCACATCTGTATTAGTATATAATTATACACATGATATGTAATACGTTTAGAATTGAAAGAATATAGAACATATATGCCTTGAGAGAACAAATTTCAAATATAATGTAATAAGTAACAAAACTATAAAGATAGGATTTACGAATCACTGTTGTATTGGATTACAATATATTACATTACATTCACATTAAGAAGAAGTCATAATTTGTACTGCTCACAACTATTAATTAATTTTTCAGTTTACGAAGAACAATATAAATTTAAAATTTATAAATTCATGCAAATATTGGAATTGTTAACAAAAACGTTCAAAAATAAAAATAATCTTTTGTTTCGTCAAAACTAAATGATGAGTGAACGTTATAAAATAAATTTATGGTAATAGTATGTTAGACTATAATAATTAATGATATAAAATTATTGATAAATGTGCTATTCTCAAATGGACAGATATTTTACTTACATTTATTATGGCTCGTTTAATAGCAAAACATAATGCATTATATCCTTCTAAATTACCAGCTGTCCATTGCGGAGTGCCTTTTGGATTGAAGAGTGAAAAATTCAATGTATGAAGCACGAACAGCCAATCTACCGCTTTCGAGTCTGTTAGATCTGGATATGTTTCCGGACGCCAGAATACATTATGTTCTATCCAGGATTTATTATCATCCGTAAGATCATTGTGTATCTATGTGGATTAATGAAATAAAATATCTATTTTAATATATTCGGTGTAAAAAAATTATATATTAAAAATTATTATATTCTTTGGAATAAAATTTTAAAACAAATGAAGTCAGTTTTATTCATACAACGATGATTTTTATATATTATATGACGCTTGCAACAAATGAAATAACATAATTTTTCAAATATCTACAATATTTCCAAATTGCAAATAATACGAAAATTATTTCTTAATGCTATGCATATATCTATTAAAAGAATATCATACAATTGATTCTAAAAATCAACATAAAAATTGCATATCAAAAAATAAGTTAAAATATAATGGTTTTTACAAATATTATAATCTACCAAAAATTTAATTAATTTGAAAACTTTCTTTCTCTTCTGTCGACATAATTCTTTATTCAAAATATTCATTCTCTTATACATATATTCAAGAAGAATTTACGAAAAGGATTTGGTAAATATATTTTCTTATCTGTATCTTTTTAAAAACTTATCTTTTATTTTAAATATTATTTATATTCTAAGAATAACATCTCGACGTGAATTAAATTACGTATTGAATACACTGTGCGTTTAATAAAATCTAACTAAATTTTTGAATTTTTATTCCATACACACACATTTAAAATCAAACGGACAAATGAGAAACATGTCACGAATTCAAAATTTTCAAAATTTTATAAGCAGATATTAAGGAAACGCACTTTGGCTGCTAATTTATCGATATTATTTTTGTCGATCTTTACGTCTTGCGCCTTTCTAGCGATATATTCCGCCGCCTGCAATAATTCTTTCACATCACAATCACTGCTATTATTTTCCATAACGTTAGTTATATTTCGCCGATTGTTTTAAACTGTTGGTTATTTATAATTATGTCTTCTTTATACTTGTATGTCTTCTTTATATTCACTTAACCACCAGAATGCTGTAGAACAGCTGTCAACATAAGAAGATAAACCGATTATACATATTAATATAAACACAAGCATTTGTTGAGACCTAATCTTAAAAAACTAAAATAAAATAAAAAAGATTACAGGAAATGACAGTTTGTATCATTTATGTTTATTAGAGAGGTATATTTTGAAACGTTAAAGTTAAAAAGTAAACTAAAATAAATAACATTATAATAAGTAAAAGAATAACGTTTTGAAAAGTCGGTATAAAATAAAACTTTTGTAAAACTAGTAATCACATTTAAATTAAGATATTAAATTATATCACACACAATCTAAGGACAATTGAAATAATTAATTTTGCACATTGCCAATTATAAGAGACATAATGTAATTCAAAATATTCTAAAACTTTTGTATTATTAATAAAATACGATTATAATTAAGTAGGAAAGTCATTTTATATATATATATATATATATATATATATATATATATATATGTTAGAGGAAAATACCTTTTTCTCTAATGTATTTGTAATGGTTTTGGAAATTAGATTATCGCAGAAGGGAGTGATAAAAGAAAATTTAAAACTTAATTGCAAATATAAATTTCTAAATTTAAAAATAACTTATTAAACACAACAAAGTATAGGGAAGTTTGCAAAAGTATTACATTCTGTACTCGTTTTAATATGTAATTAAAAGAGAGGAAATTAATTAAAATTGCATCCTTTAATGTATATTACATATATTTCTGTTATATACATTCACCAAAATCTTATCAAACTTTTCAATAATATCTATATTATAATGATAAAAGAAACATTTTTTTAATTACAACATGCATCTCAATCGATAAAATATAAATCGATTGCGTCATAAAATAATAATATAAACTAAGAGAAGATATTATATTATATTTGTATATCCTTAATAGTGTACAGATGTAATATAATAGAATGGATACTAATCATACAGACGTTTACGAAAAAAATTACCTATAATTATAAGCAAAAAATTGTCAATCAGAATCGATGCGTTTTGACAATCTCAATCGATTTTGCATCTCAATCGATAAAATATAAATCGATTGCGTCTCAACAATTACTAATTGTAAAAGAAGATATTATACATATCATATTTTTATATTCTAAATAGTGCACAGATGTAATATAATGGAATGGATACTGATCATACATACGTTCACGAAAAAAATTACCTATAATTATAAGTAAGAAATTGTCAACCAGAATCGATGCGTTTTGACGATTTAGATTTCTGCAAAAATCAGGGCAATATTTTTTGATCGATTTCAATAGTTTATTAGCTGCGACAAAAGAGCAAGCGCGTATCTCAAGTTCTTCCCTGTCGCCATGTTTAAGCGGTTGATCTGTGAAAAAAAAATTCAGTATATCAGATATTGTATATAACATAATATATATAATAATCAGTATATTCAATATATTTACTTATATTAGTTATGATTAACTGAAAACGTAGTGATCTCTATAGATATACATAGAACAAAATTAATTACAGCAGAGTATTCGACAAAAAAAGTTTTCTAAATGCAATCTGTCATGCAAAGGGTAAATTATCATGATTGGTACCAAAAGAGATGTCATAAAAATTAATAACACTTACAAATTAATTTTTATCTACTCATATGAATAGTTTCCTATTTTTATTGATTTCTATTGATCTCATTCTCGATTCATCTTTGTGCGGACAAATCGATAAGACTTATAAACCTTTTTTTGTAAAATAAATAAGTTAGCAAATTGATTCGTAATTATTATAAATAAAAATATTTTTATAGAGACATCATTTTTTTTAGCAAAGAGAATTATTAGTATTTTAAAATACGGTAGAAGTTTTAAATGTGTTCATTATGATACTTCATGTTTTATGAAGGCAGAACATATAAATATACAAGTATAAATATCAAAAGTAACACGTATAAATTCGTAGAATAAAAGAATTGATAAAAATTTAGGAGAGATTTGTCGCTAGTAAAAAGTTATTTAATATATTAAATATCTTACTGTTATTTGTGAATTTCTGCAAGAGCTCGTCACTATACTGAAGAATTCTATAATGATAGAGAGCTACAGGACTACGATAGTCAATAAACAATGTAGACATCATGTTTCTTTTATTAAGATAAAACTTATTCTCTTTTCTATAGCATGCCCATATGTCGCTCACTAGTGAATTTGCTTTGGTATACAAACGAACTGAAAAATAATTAAATAAAAGTATATAATATTAATAGCTTAATATTTTTTAATATTATACAAAAACTGCTAAATTATCTAAACTACTTCATTATAAAAATTCCAAATATATTTGCATAACTTACATACATTAATTGACGAAAATGTCAATTAAATAGAATATTAAATTTATACTTTACAAATTTTCTGTTCCTAAAATAATCCTGAATAATAAAAATGTCTCATAACATATAGAACAATTTTTACAGACGTTTATAAACAAATTTGTGTAAATACGTCTATTATAAATATATTCAAATACGTCTGCTATAAATAATATACCTACAAAATATTCGCCTCAAAGTGTGAACATTAAATTATTAATCAATTTATTGTTACACAAACGTTTAATTTTATTATATTTCAATAATATTAATTTTTTTCGTTGTTTCATATCGCGGTGTATATAATTCGCAACTTTCACTATAATACTCATGAATAATTACCCTTTGAACGATTGTATATTACTTCGTCTCGATATGGTTTAAATTCATTGAAAAGTAATTTTATCAAATTGTCCGCATTATATTTCGCTGATTTGACACAGTTTTTAAACGTGCCTGTAACGATATTAATGATATATCTATTATTTTAGTAATAATTATATACATTTTTGTGAATGTAAAACATGTATTGTTTATAACATCTACATCTAATCAAATTTTTAGAGACATGATTCTTTTTTCTTTTTTCAAGAAACAGAGAATTGATTCTGAGCGAGTCCTGTTACATCGATTACGAGAAAATGTTTTGAAACATACATTTTTTTTTCACTCAATTTTATAATTTATACCTTCATATTTTTCTAGTAAAACGTTTCCAACCTCATGTAAAATCATAAGTCTTTCGTTTAGAAGTGGAATGGTAGTTTCGCGATCGTCACTGCGGAAAATATACTCTAACTCACTTCGTGTCAGTGTTGTGTAATATCTGGAATCCCATAAAGGCTTTCCTTCCTATGTCAAACATTATATAGCATATTAAATTGAAAAAAATCTCTTATTGTATATACATATATATATAATATAAAAACAATGTAAAAACATTTTAGGTATAAAGATAATTATAATAAGAGCCTGACACAGATATTAAGAATAAAATAATTTTAAATACTGAAATTTTAATAAGGCTGTTTATGTGATAAACATTTAAATTTAATTTAATATTAATATTTAAACAAATGAAAGCCATCTGCGAATAATAGTGTGTCTGTTTCAAGGAAGAAATGATTTTCGTCGAAACTAATTATTCGCATACTAGTTACCGCCGCGATTTTTCTTAAAATTATTTCAGACACTATAAAGTAAATAAATTTTAAATCGAGATTTTTTTAAACTTTTTATCTCCCCTGAAGCTATATTTTTAATTGGAAAATTTTAACTATACCTGTCTGTCCATGTTAAAGAATCAAAAGCGACAAATATATCGGGAAAAATATTTAGCGACTTTGTTCCGATATTTTCTTCGCCTTAAAGTATTTAAGAAAAATAGATAGATATAGCTAAAAATAATCCCCGAATTGTAAATATTGCTTTAATGGGGATAAATAGTATATCAAAAATCTCAAATTGAAATTGATTTATTTGGTGTTAGATTAAGAAAAATCGTCCTGTGCACAAATAATTAGCCTAAACAAAAATTACTTCTTATCCGAAACAAATAAAACTATAAAACAATTTTATTTTTATATTTTACATTTTATATAAATAAACAAATATTATGTACACGATAGGACTTGCATATACAAAGTATTTTTATAATTGCTCATCATAATGAATTGAAATTTGAAATGTATCATATTCTTTAGAAAAATTATATAGAAATATATGCTTCAGTGTATTTTAAATTAGTGTGTAAGAAATTTAAAATATGTACGTAAAAATATAGAAAGTTGCACAAGTATCTTAATTTTTTAATTAATAATATTAAATAAGATTGACATATTATAAGATATTTTTTAATAAATTGAAACATGCAAAAGGCGATAATTAGGATATATTATTATTAGAAGTTGGTTGAAAACTGCGAAATTGACGAATGCTTTGCTACCAAATACAAAAAATTTATTATACTATTTTAAAGTATCAACAAACTGACTTTAGTGATAATAATAAACTTTAGGGATGTTTCATCAAAACTAATAGCGGATGAGTGATATAAAATAAAGTTGTATATAGGATATCGTTCTAATATATGAATGAGTATTTCACTTACATCTATAGCTCGTTTGATAGCAAAAGTTAATGCAGTATATCCATTTGTATTACCAGCTATCCATTGCTTAGTGCCTTTTGGATTGAAGAGAGAAAAATTCAATGTATGAAACACGAACAGCCAATCCACCGTGTTTTCAGTGAAATCCGGATATAGTTCCGGACGGAAGAAAACATTTGTGAGTGATTTAACCTGATCCTCTTCCTTTATGTCCAAAAATGTCATTATCTACGTAAACAATTTAAATGTTTATTTTAACATTTTTTCTTTATAAGAAGATATTTTAAACCTAAAAAAATTAATTTAATTTGTGCAATAATAATTTTAAAATATCGTTTAAATGCAACAGGTAAAATAATACAATGATTCGTCAAATGTTTTTACAATTAAAAATCGCTAATAATACAAAAATGTTTTTTTTAATTCTATTTATATATTTATTTGAAGAACATCATGCAATTGATTGTGAAAGTAAACGTGATAACTGTATCTCAAAAAATAAGTCAAAAGACTAGAACTAGAACATAGTTTTTCATTATTATATATTGCAAAATTAATTTGTGAACTTGAAAATAA